GGCAGAACAGGTTCCGCGAGGCGAGAACTAGCGGCCAAGCGGCTGCTCTCAGCTGACGTTTGCACGGTGCTGGGAGGGAGGAAAGGGCAGCGAGCAGCGTTGGGATCAGTATCTGCCCTAAATGGCAGGAAGCAACCGGCGCTACTCAAGCCAGCCCTCGGCTCACTCGCCATCCTCCTAGCGGTGCCACAGGCTGAACCTCTCTAATCCGGAGCCCTCGGGGCCTGACCGCTGCCGAGCCAGAGAACTTGCCGGAGCTTGGAAGGTCGATATTGTCGAGCAGCATCACTGACACGGCCACTGCTCATGGGGCTCTGAGAAGACAATTCGAGCTAAAGAACAGCCCAGAGCACTGAGAGCCAGGCCCGGTGGCTGTAAACAAACTTTATGGGACTGTGGGAAACTTGGCCGCACCCACGCTAAGTGGGAACCCGGCTCGCTGACATCACGCTGGCCCCCGGACGGTGCTGGACCAGAGAGCCCGGCCAGAGAGCTTCAACCTGCAATTGCTGGGAATAGACGACAGCCCCGAGGAGGTGGAAAGGGGCCGACCCAACTGAGTGCAAACTTCAGGAGAAGGAAGCTGCCGTCGTGACGTTCTCCAGCCGGATTCTCATCTCTGTGCTGGGGCTTGTGTGTCAACATGTTTCCTCCTGCTCGCACCAATAGCTGTGACTATATATACTGAAGAGAAGTGAAACCACCAGCTTTCTGCTCCTGCACCCTTCGACTGGAGCCCGGGAGCTGGGCTGAGTTGTGTACACCCTCACCTGCGTGTCTCCTGCTCGAGAGCGTCCTGTTTAGACAACTGTGACTCACAGCAACCGTCAAGAGCTAAATTTACTATTTCAAGAAGTAAACTCAAAGCAAAACAACATCCCCGCCACGCGCGCGGGGCAGCAGGGACTGGCCGACCGTTGCAGAGCCTGAGAGAGGAGGAGCAATTTTACCTGGATGTAGAATGTCCTGGAGCTGGTTATGATTTCAAACAGGTTGTCCCGCATTAGAAGGTCACTAGAGAGGAGAGAGAGGGGTTACCCTGAAGTCCTCCTGTAGGCTCCTAGCTAGAGAACACACAGGACATCGGATAGCGTCTTTCCGCACACACTCGCCAAAGGTTTCCCGGCCACCTTGCTATACCAAAGTTCCACTGACAAACAGCTGACAAAGGAGACTGAATAGCTGATCTGAAGAACTAGCCAATCAATTAGGATACGTCTAAACTACATGGCCTCGACGGAGCCATGTAGATTTGTTGTTTTGGCAAAGGCAAATGAAGCCGCGATTTAAATGATCACGGCTTCATTTAAATTTACACGGCTGCTGCGCTGAGCCGACAAACAGCTGATCAGCTGTTTGTCCGCTCAGGGCCCTCAGGGAAGGAGGAGGAAGGGGTACTGCAGGCCCAAACCAGTGCAGACCATAGAAAGAAGGTGGGGAGCGGGGACTCTTGAGTCAAAGCAGAAGATGGGCAAGAATGTAGCAGAGATGGTGCTTTGGAGAAGACTGAATAATTGAGACCCCATAAAGGGCAGAGTGACAGGGTCCCAGACGGCAGAGTCACCTAAGGTACGTCTAAACTACATGACTCCGTTGACGGAGCCATGTAGATTTGTTGTTCTGGACGCTCCCCTGTCAACATCAAAGCCCTTTCTCGGCAGCCCCGGTAAACCTCATCGCACGAGGAATAACGGGGCTGCCGACAAAGGGCTTTGATGTCAGCAGGGGAGCGTCCAGACTAGCGCACTGAGCAGACAAACAGCTGATCAGCTGTTTGTCGGCTCAGCGCAGCAGCCATGTAAATTTAAATGAAGCCGCGATCATTTAAATCGCGGCTTCATTTGCCTTTGCCTATGTGTCTAATCTACATGCCTCTGATGACAGAGGCATGTAGTCTAGACACAGCCTTAGAGTCCCGCAGGCCTAGCAGCTGCTTATAATCATAGATTGTAACCAAGTACAGCACCACTGACTGCTGTGCGTGTCACACACACTCGTCCGGTCTATTCACTTTCGTGACTGTGTCGTTCACCATTACAAATGGATTCTTGCTAGGAAGCGTGACCTACGTGTCAGTCCAATGGTGTTTGCACGTTTCATCGGCACTCTCACTCGTGCGCTCTTTGCACGCCTTGAAATAAACGGGAGAGTTTCGGCACCTCCGCGGCTCAGCTGGGTAACGAAGCAGCCGTCAGAAAGGCCTGGGCTTTGGACTCTCCCGGCGCGTCTAACCTCTGCACCGCAGCCAGGCACATGCCTGGGAAACCCGTCCCTCAGGACGCCGGGACGCAGTGCCCGTCACCAGGCGCAGGGATGCCCAAGTGAGGGGGAGACGAGAACGAAGAAGCCCAAACCATGCTGGGTAGGGTGGGGCGAGGGGGGCGCAGGGACCCCCCGGTGAGTGCTCGGAGTGCAAGGCCCCGAAGCTGCCCGCTCCCTGTCAGCGGCCCAGAGGCTCCGTTTCCTGTGTAGCGTCCCAGGTCACTAAGGACGTGGACACCGCGCTGCAGCGCCCAGTGCTCCCCCGCCCGGTCCGAATTGTGCAACATCTGTTTGGCGAGGGTCCAGGATTGTGCCAGCGTGGGGGAGGGGGGGAATTAGCCCCACCCCGGAGCTCTGGGCCAACCAGGAATCGCATCTGCACAGCCCTGTCCATGGACCAGACAGGACCCCCGCTCGGGGGCTAGCCAGCCGCCCATTGGTGTCTTCGGCACACGCCTAACCCAG